GTAGTTGTTTAACACCAAGGGAATGTGAACATTCACAAATCCCTGGTAAAATGGGGTGCGTCCCACTTTGGGAGGCCGTTACCTCTGGGCCTGAAGCTTCTGGATGTTGGGTCGACCTTCAGAATAAGACATTTATTTTCAATGTGAGGGTGACTCTTTTTGAGTTGGCACCCCCTTTTGGTGGGTTTGAACGGGAAACCAAAAGGACAACTTCTTCGCCATTTTGGAAGGTCCAACCTTGAAGACGAGCCACCCATGTGGTTTTGGAATGCTTCAGCCAACTTCTTGGGCTCCTCAAGGACTATCAGAAAGCGAACGGTCTTGGTAGTAGGTCGGGAACTGCCGGAAACATGGGGCCAAGTTTGCCTGTGGAGCCGGGAATATGTTATCGGGGTCCCTCCTTGATTTAGCATATACATTCGTAGATGTATACAGATACATACATACATACATACATACGTACGTACGTACGTACGTACGCACGTACGTATACATACATACATACATACATACATACATACATACATACATACATACATACATACATACATACATACATACATACATACATACATACATACATACATACATACACACGTACATGAACAAGTATATACATACATATGCATACATACATACATACATACATACATACATACATACATACATACATACATACATACATACATACATACATACATACATACATACATACATACACACGTACATGAACAAGTATATACATACATATGCATATATGCATTGATACATTTGTATATATATATATATATGTGTGTGTGTATGTACATATGCACATATGAACACATACATCAATGTACATGGCCTTTCGAAAGCTATGCGGGATTTGTCAGGTTCTCACCTGCAAAAGGTGAATGGTTCAAACGTGTTTTTGCGGTTTGGGTTCGTTCCTGGTTGGGACAGATTGGCACCTCTGAGTCTTCGGTTCGACTGGCCCGGTTTCTGTGGCTGTGGGTGAAAACCCAGATACCCTTTTGCCACTCTGATCCATTTTAGAAGGGAATCTGCGGGGGGGGTATGGGGGCAGCAGGTTTTGACCCACAGCCATTTCATTTGTAAAGTTTGGGGGTCCATTTCAGCTAAGCCAACCCTTTGGCTAACAAGAGTCCTTGGGCTTCCGCGTCAACGGAGAGGTTTTTTCGCTACGCAGGTGGGCATTGCTATCCTGGAGGAGTTGCTCTCAAACGCCACGACTCCTGGCCGGTTCCAGACTCGTTGGCCCTGTGGGTTCCACTTCCTTCATGGTCCCACATGGGGGGTTGTCCTTTGTTTTTCTTCTCGGGTGTGCGGTGTCTTCACCACAAGAACGCTTGATCACGGGAACTGACAGTAAGTGGCCGTTTTGCAGTGGCGTTTTGCCGGGTGTCCATCTGTTTGCAGGTGTCCTTTTGCTGCTCTAGTGGGTGGTTTCCGATAGACTTGGATAACCTTGGTCACCACCCATTCAACGACTTGTTTTCTGTTGGCAAGGTGTTTTGTGTCATGGACTTTCACAAGTTGGCACTTGTCATGTTGCTGACCGCTTTTGTGCAGGGTTGTCAAGGAGTTTATCCCCTTGTATCTATGATAAAAGGGAATCTTTTCCCTTGTAATTACTCACTTCCTGAGTTCATGGACTTTAGTCACTCTCTGGGGCTGGACCAAGAAAGGTTGGTGACTTTGTTTGGCCCATCCACTCGATCGGAAGTGAGTATAGGGGGCTTAGTCTTTAGGAAGACCTGGTACTGTTTACCCCATCTCAGTCAGCCTCAGTTTGTTAATAGGGGGGGTGGTTCCCTCCAAAAGTGGTCTGATTCTCCACATTTCACCCAAGGACATCCCCTATGAATAAACTGGTTGGTTGATTAATGGGACACCCCCGTATTAATAAGCTAGTGCGTTGATTAGTATGGGGTACCCTCTCACCAATTAACATGGAACCTGACAGGGGGTCCCTTTAAAAGGCAAATGGTCCAAACCCGGACCCCCCGAACGTCAGGTTCCATGTTAATTGGTAGGAGGGTAGTAGATCAAGCTGAGAGCACTTCGTAGGATGTCTGCTTCATTGAGTTGGCATGCCTTTTTGTTTAAACGGGAAGTTAACAGGAACAGCAACATCCGTTTTTTGGGGTCTAAACAAGACGAGCCCACATGATTCATTTATGTTGGCACGCCTTTTTGTTCTACAAGGCTTGAACATATATGGCCTAAACATTTCCTCTGCCAGTCCAACCCGCTCGCGCGCTTCGCTTCGCTTCGCTTCGCTTCGAGGAACGAGACCTTGGAGTCCACCGCTGCGTTGCTCACCGCCATGGGCTCGGCCTGCGATCGGCCCAGCTGGCCTCAGAAGGCCACCGAGGGACCGGGGGGCGACGGCCGGGTGGCCTTGGAATCCTCACTTTTCTGGGCGGACACCGGCCATCCGCTTCAGCTTCGCCTTTTGGCATCTTTTAGCTTTTGAGTGTTGAGTGGTAGTTTCCATTTAACCCACAAGTTAAACTTTTAGTGGGGGATCTGAGGGCGGCCCTGTGAGCAATGGCAAGGGACACCCTGTGTAATTAGCCGGAACCCTGGTAACCATCTTTGGGAGAAACAGGGGAAGGAGGAGGCGCTTGCTTGCTTGGCTGGCTGGCTGGCTGGCTGGCTGGCTGGCTGGCTGGCTGGCTTGTTTGTTTGTTTGTTGTTGTCCTGTCCTGATTTATGTTTTGCGGGGGGAATCCCACGTTTGAGGATACTTGAAATCGGAGGTCCAAGCTCCTTTGGCACGGAAGGAAGCCAGGGTCCTTGTGTTCACGGCTTGTTGGGCTCGAGGTTCAGCTTTCAAATAAGCTGCTTGCCAGGCTTTAGGGCCAAATAGTGTGATGTATTAGTTACCCTCCCTCCAACACTCATGGAAACTCAACAGGAGGGTTTTGGAAGACCACTTTCCTGTTGGGAACCCCCCTGTCCATTGGACAGAGGGTAGGATTTTGGTTCGTTCACTCATTTCCCGCAGGAATAGCGCCTGTGGTTTTGCATGTTGCCGGACTTGTTCTTCGGACACGGCTGGGTCATTTCCCAGTGTAGTCCCAGGCTCGAGTGGAATCCGGTGAAGGATGCAAAATCCTTAGATGGGTATGGGTCAAAATTAGGCGACCAAAAAACCGCAGGTTTTAGTCGTTGTTTCCATTTACCAGGGATCCATTTTGTGTACCTAGTTTTAACCTACACCTAGATACCTTTGGGTTGGCAAACTCTCATCTTTTTGTTGGATGGGGTCTTCCACCACCCCGAAACGTCAGGTTCCATGTTAGACGGGAGGACATCATTGGCTCGCAACCCGGTTTTTGGGTCAACAGGAACCACTTGGGATGAATGGTGAAAGCATGCCACCCAGGGAGGCTCTTACATGTGCGCGTTTCCAGGCCGAATCCCTCGTGAGACATGAACTGCACAATTCTGACTGGAGATTCGGACATCTTCTTTGTGCATGTTTGTTTGCCAAGCAAACCAGACATGCCACCCCACACGTTGGCAAGGCAAAAACCAATGGCCTTGCTTGACCGAATGTTTTTCTTGGTCCCCGGCCATCCATCCTTCGCTTTTTAGCTTTTAAGTTCGTGGATGTTTCAAGGTCACCAAAAGTTTGTCACTTTTATCGGGGCATCTGAAAGCGGACGGCCCAGTTTCCCCCTGCGCTTAGCTTTTGAGTGTTTAGTTCGGGGATTTCTGCGAATTTCACCCACGAAAAGTTGGTCGCTCGCGGGGCATAGCCCAGCTTGAGTTCGATGGTGCATCGATCCGGGCCCATAAGTGTCCTGGTTGGATTTTTTTGGTCGAAAACTGTTCTGGCGATTCCTGGTTTACCTGGTGGTTTAATCATCTACCAGGGAACCCCATCTATTTCCCGTAAGACTGTACTGCTGTTGGGTTGGATCGAAAAGACTTTAACTTTTTGGAAATTCCCCTCATATTTGTTATTTTAACCAGCAAAAAGTTTTTTTTTTTAAAAAAAATAAAATAAAATGCTGGGGGATCTACACCCAAGAAAAGGACACCTGAAAAGTCCGGGCCCAAAAGCGGTGTGGGGCCAGGTGGCCTTGGACGGCATCTTCAAGCGCGTGGCCGGCCTGGTGGCCGGAAAGTCCTGCCAGCCCCGGGAGCGTTTCCTCCTGAGCCTTCGGCGGGTGGGGCGGGGGCGGCTTTTTTTTGAGTAAACCAGAGTTGGGTTGGATCTTTAGACTTTGGCTTTTTGGTTGTTGAGTTTTTTGTTTGTTTTGCTTGGCTTTCGGGGGGTTGATGGCTAGTGGGTTGGGTCTTTAGATTTTAACTGTTGGTTGATTTGTTTGGGGGGGGGGGTTGAGTCGGGTTGGATCTTTAGGCTTTAACTTGTTGGTTGATTTGTTGTTGTTTTTTTTTTGGGGGGGGGTCCATTTGACCCAGAAAGAACACGAACACTTTTTGCAGAGGGGGAAGACACCCAAAGGGAACCGAGCCACTTGTTTTGTTTCCCATGGAAGCGACTAGCCACCACCTACCTGAAATCGCCTTTCTTTCAGGCAGCTTTGGAGGAAACCAGGAAGGTTGAAGGGCGGAGGTGGCCAGTTCAGGTTTCGCCCAGGTGCTGGGTTGCGGGCTTAAGACGAGGAATTGATTTTCTTTTGTGTGGGGCTCCCAAACTGTATGTGGAGGAGTGCAGGATTTTCGGATCTGGGTTCTTCAAATCGATGTTTCTGGGGTACTCCCAAATATTGTAGGGCAGACTCAACGTGAAACAGCCATTTTCGGCGTACCCCAGATGTGGGTCAAGCTTTCTGCCGGTGCTTGCTTTCTGGGAAAGATCAGTAAGACGGCCTGTTAAAAGGCATCCCCCCCACAACCAAGAACAGAGATCTTCAGCTTGAGATTGATCTGACGGCCATGCAGAGATTTGTGCAGATTGGAAGTCGATACGGCAATGATTTAACTTGGAACAATCCCCTGAAAGCTTCATGCTCTTATTGTTTGAGCATGTTTTAGATGTTGTTTTTTCGTGCCCGCACCCCCATGGTGCTCATGTCCCATGATGGTCAGATGTCATTTGATTTCCCCAAAGAAACCTAAATCAGACATACATCTTTCGAGCAAGAGGCAGCAAAAGGCAGCAAAAGGCATCTTTGACTTGAACGCCTTCTGGACTTTATAGCCGGAGGTTCGCTAAACCGCGTCTGTTTTGAAAACAGCCCATGGCCAGCTTTCGGGTTTTACCAGTCCAACTTGCGGGGCCAAAAACCTGCGGCCAGCCAGGTGTTGTTTCCTTCCAGTTTCTTTTTGAACCTTGTTTGTTTCGCCCTCTTGGTTTTAAAGGGAATCGATTTCACTCTTGGACATATTGTTTTGGTCCAGGCTTAAGCAAATGGAAGGTTCGGGTTCCAGCACGCCCGGCCGGGGGCCGGGGTCGAGACCCGAAAGCCGAACTGCCGAGGAAGGACCTGCTGGAGCTGAGGGCCAATGGATGGGCGCCTTGGATCGATCCGGGGTAAGCATCCGGTTCCCTGAGGGGTTTTGTGCTTTTTTAGGGGCCCTGGGAGTGTGGAGTTCAGAGTGCCGCACTTGTATCCGGTGCCTTGCGTGTTTGTTTTTTCAGTCTTTTTTTGGGAGTGGGGGGTTCCATTTAAGCCACCAGAAGTTAAAAACTTTCAGCAGTGGAACTCTTGGCGGGGATCTGAGGAGAGCCCAGATGCTGGGCCAGAGATTGGTGATGTTGCATTTGTGCCCTCGCAAAACGAGGATAGGTGGAAAAGATTTGGTTCTGTGTCAAAATTAAACCAGGGGTGCACTTAGCCTTCACTTTACCGAACAGAAGCGGGCTGTTCATGCAGCGCGCCTGTAAATGCTCTTGCCAAACTCAACGGCGGATGGTCCGTCCCCTCCCCCCCAACTTTGACTGAGCTGGTGGGTGGTAGACGTGCTCTAACCTGGCGTGGCTGAGCTCGACCCCCCATCCTATGCTTCCGCGATTGGTACGTTGCATTGCGTTATAATTCGTTTGCTTCCTGGGTCTAAAGATTGCCACAGTGACACATGACAATGGGACAGACGATGAGGGTATGTGTAAAAGCACGGGGAAGCAATTGTCATGTTGGGTCTTTTGAACAAATCTGAGAGGGGGAATTGCCCTCCCCCGGACAAACATGCAAGTGCACAGGCCCTTTGGAGGCTACAGAACCCTTTTTGGAAGCTGGTTGCGTGCCGTTCTATGTTAGGGAGAGAAGCGTCCTGAAATGTTCTCATGGTGAACCTCTTCCTCGTTTCCACTTCTTTTCCAAGGCCGCTGGATGCCATGTTCATTGCATGCCTTGTTGACCGGGATGTGGGCGGGTCTTGTTTTTGTTCGCCTTTGGGTGTCCCTTAAAACCAACCAAAAGCGACCAAAAGAGGGCTCCCCCCCAAGAAAAAAAGAGGCGACCCCCCCCCCTCAACAAAAAAGAGGCGACAACCCCCCCCCCCCCTCCCCCCCAAAAAAAATGAGAATGGTGACAATTTTCCCCCCCCCAAAAAAAAAGGAACAACAAACAAAACAATGGCGACAATCTCCCCCTCAGTGAAAATAGCAAACAGCAAAAAGTGAGACAACCACCGCCCCATGCGTCCCTTCGAGTGGCGGCTCCCGGGCGGAGACCCCTTGTCCCCGGAGCCCCGAGGAGGAGAAGCGCCCGAAGGCCTTGGAGCGGCAGATGACCTTGGCGCAGGTGGCAAAGCTGGCGAACGGCCAGAAGGTGGAGCCCAAGGCGCCTCAAAACAAATCTGAGGTCTGATGGGTCCGTTGTTGGCGCAGTTCGGGGGGGAAAACCTGAGCTGATCTGATGGGCCCTTTCTTTTTTTGGGTCCTCCCTGTAATAAGGAGCCTAGTTGATCTCAAAGTTCCCATGAGTTCTATGTTTCATAGATCTATAGATGGTAAAAGATAGATCAACGTTTCGCCTGAAAATCATTTTCTGATGGGTCCTTTTTTTTGGCCCTCCCTGCAAGATGCACAAAGGAGCCTCTAAAACAATCCATGTTCAATGGCAGGCACGGGAAATCTGATGCGTTGATGTGTCCTTGAAAGCCCTCCCTTCAACATAAAGAAGTACCTACCGGTGGGAAGGTACCTGAAAGTTCACTTTGGCCTTGGCCTGTCAGGTGCCATGTGGGAAAGAGGGTATTTCTATTTTGCTTTGTGAGTTTGCTGATGTTGGATGGTTGGATGGTTGGATTTCTTGCTTGCTGGCCCGCTTGCTTGCGTGCATGTGTCCGTGCTTGTGCCTATAGAGTGTTTGCTTTGCGTACTTCTGTGGTGTTGTGTTTTGTGCTGTTTTCTTGTGTGTTTGTTTGCTTGGTTGGCTTCTTGATTGGTGTTTGGCGGCGGGCGGCTGGTCACAAAAGTCACAAAAGGGCCCAAACGCGAGCTATGTTGAACGCTCTTGCTTGTTTGATCTTCAATCTTGGTCTGGCAGGGTCAGGGTTCGTTGGTTTTAGTTAAGAACGGGAAACAATCAAACCTTTTTCTGGCCAGTCAACCCAGCATGTTGGTATGTGCTTTTCTAAGTGATGTGTGTTAATTAGTTGTGTGATTGGCTTGGTTTGCTTGTTTGCGCAGTGATGCGTTGTTTGGTTTGGTGTGTAGTTTATGTGTTTGTGTTGTGTGATTGTGCGTCTCTTTGCGTGTTAGTGTTTAAAGTGCCTGTATGTCTTTCTTTGTTGTATACGTGTTTGCTCGTTGTGTTGTGTGCGGTGATGTGTGTGTTTGTGTGATGTGGGTTTCGTTTGCCGCTTGTTGTGATTTGTGCTGTTGATTGGTGTGCTGATGTTTTAAGATGCTCGGTGTTTGTTATAAGCTAGCACGTTGGTGATGTTCCGCTGGTGGACACAACGGTGTTTTTTTGCTGGATGTGTTATGCTAAATGTTGGTGATGATCCATGATGCTTGATGGTTGTTGTGATGTGGGGCAGTTGGTCGGTTATTGCATTGCGCCCTGTGCTTGAGACTTGTGAGTGGTGACGTTTCCCAGCCACCGGATCCCACTCGCAACCCTTTAGAGTCTCGAGTTTATCCGAGATGTTGTAGGGCTTGATGGGTTGCCGCATCTGAATTTCCTCTTTAAGGGGTGCTTCCCATGTCCCAGCAAAGAACAGGAAACTGACATGAGTCACAATCAAAACCCGGGAAACCCAGGGACAATCCCAGCCATAAATGGGTGCGGCCGCCTGTTCAATTCTGTACATGGCTCTGGGTAAACCATTTTAATACCAGGTTTTGATTGTGACTTGTGACTCACATGTGAGCATGGTTGATGCAGAATTGGCGGGCTTTTAGATTGCCATTATGCCAATTGCCGTGAGCCTTTCACCTGCGATCGATCCGTTGCCTAACATGGAGGACGTCAAACAACCACAAGGGGATGCGAGACGTCCATCCTCATCAGCCACCCTTGCGACACCCCTGCAACCGTTTGGACCGGTTTCTCCAGGCAATGCGCTGCCTGCAGCCAGCAGTGTTCGACCAGGACGTGAGGGTAGTTGCTTGGGAGTGGAAGGCAGGTTTTCTCACCTTTCAACGGGAAACGAAAAGGAAACCGCAGTTTTGTTGGGTCACAACTGTAAGAAGCTTTGCATCACACTAGTCCTGCTTCATCTTTGCACATGGCTCTTGCTGCTTCATCGCTGCACATCGCTCTTGCCAGGGAAGCTAGAGGTGGATTGCTTTAACTTCGGCAGAACCCCGATTTACCAGCCAGGGATGGGAGGGACTGCCCTTGTTGCGTCACCTGCGCCAAATGCCACAGCGACGAAACATCACTTTACCTTTCCCGAGCAATGACTGCTTAGGATTGGTTTGGGATTTGAACACCTGGGACTCCCACACCATCCAAGCCGCCAGCAAACAGAAAAGGAACGGGCTAAGGGTAGCAGGTGCTTTTTTTGGTTTCTGCAGATGAACATGGAGCCCAGAAAAGCGGAAGCCACCGGGAGAGCCCAAGAAAGCTTGAGGGCTTTTTGGGCCTTTTAATTTGCAGGAGCATAGGTTGATGTCGGAATCTGGCAGCTACCACCTTCTGTTTACCAGCCCCTTTGTGGCCTGGTGGCTCAGATCGGTTGGAAGGGCTGGCGAAAATTGTTCAGCATGTTCAGCAAGCCCTTGGCCCCATCCTGTCTAGACTTGGGACACATTTTACATTTCACCAGTGTCTCAAAGTGAAGCAAACAATGAAATATGCATTCTATGACTGTGCCAAACTCTAATCATGCCATGTTCGAGGGAGGCTGAACTCCATAGCTGTTTTTCAGCAGGCTTCAGGGAGTTGGCACCTCCTCCCCCTCCAGTACAGCTTTTGGGTGGACCCTTTGTTGGGGTTCTGCCTTTTGCGAAGTCTTGCTGGTTGGAAGGGAGCTCAGATGCTTGACGAATCCAAATTTGGTTTCGAGGGAGCTAGGGAGCTAAGGAGCTAGCGTTCCAGTGCGGAGTTCTGGTTACATGGTACTGTGGGAGTTTTTGAACATTGTGGGGAATCTATCACTACTGGACATGTGTTTTTGTTTTTTTTTTCCAGGGGCCTTGTCCAAATGAAAGTATTGTTGGTGATAATACGAAAACCTAAAGGAGACCAACCATTTCGGAGAACCCCTATGTTGAGAAGCTTCATTCAGTACTTCCTTTTTCAGGACCGCTTCCGCCAGCAAGTCCTGGGCCTGTTGAAGGACAAATCCTCGAGCTGGTCGTGCGACCAAAATAACGGCCCGACGGTTTGGTGCATTTCGTTTGCCGGAGGGGTTTCCCTATAAACGTTGCAACCCTTGAGAACGCCTAGCAACCATCAAACCCAAGGAAACCCGCAATGAGGGGGGTGAATGATTGCGACCCCAAAACAAAGTGGGTTCCTTTTTGCAGCGGCCTCAAAGCCCCCCAAAGGCTGGCCTCAACAGTTTGGCATGTATTTGGGCCACTTGGACCGACCGATCCAGGGAAATGCGAGCGTGGGACTCCTTATTTCGACTCTGTAAATCTTACCCTGTGACGCTATTTACCTGCATAGCTGGTAAGCAAGGGAGCCACCCTTCAAAACCCAAAGGGAATATTGTTGGTTGCCTACTATAGTGGCAACTGAGATCCACTGGATTCGTCATGTGGTTTCGTCCTACATTGCATGTTTGTGTTTTCGTGATGGGGCCAATGCGATGCAGAGCCGTCAGTCAGTGACTTTGTCGCCACACGAGCTCACCTTTTCGTGAGCATCTCTATCTCAAGATGTCGAAGCCATGAGCGGGACACGTCTATTTGTGTGTGTGTGTGTGTCTGTGTGTGTCTGTGTGTGTGCGTTTTCCCCTGCAATGCCAATCTGCAGCAGGGTACAGGTTGGGACATGGCACCTTGTGTCAGCTCCAGGTTTATATGCGCGCATAGCGACCTTACATGGGGTGGAGCGACCTTGCCTTAGACCCTGTTTGAAGGGTGCGTGATTGTTTCTCTCTTTTCTTTGTTTGCGGCAACAAGCCCCAAGCTGCTTTGGGATGTCTTTTGGCATAAATTTGTATGCGAGTCCGGCCCAGCCGGAGTCAAAAGATTCACTCACAGAAACAAGCCATTTGCGCATCTTGACTTTTGTTTGGAGGCCAAAGCAGCCCAGGGGTCACTGGATTTCCCCCTTCATAAGTTGCCATTTACTGGTGGTTTCCACTTAAACTCTCTCAAAAGCAGACGCGGGTATGGGTCAAAGTTAAACCACCCAGAGACCGCAGGTTTTGGTCCATGTTTCCACTTACCAGGGCAACCCATTTTGGGGTTAGCCTATTTTTGACCCACAGCCACATGGAAGCCTGTAGCAGTTTCCAGGAGGCGGATGCGTCGGCGCTGGAGCTGGCGCAAAGCGTACCTGCCACAGCCCAGCGAGCCCAGGTGGGACAGCCACACATCCCCAGCCGGGGGGTAACCCCTGGAATTCCATTTGTTGGTTCCATTTTCATTTTTTGTGGAATGCTGGATGAATGGACTTGGGGGCCCCCACCCCGTCCCCCGTTGGCATAGCCAGACCTGGGTGGCTTTCTTCAGGTGAGCCTTGGTGGTTCGGAGTAGGCACCCTGCTCCTCTATGGAAACACCCTAACCCCTAAACCAATGCGAACCACCAATGAGAGGTAAGCTGAAATTTCTGACGAAAGGCATGCGACCAGATGGCTGTGACAAGAACCCAAACCTGCGGAAATCGGAAATTGGACCTTGGCTGCAACCGTAGGTGTGCCTTTTTAGATTGGTTGGACATAGATGGGTTCTACTCAAAGCCTTTTTGAACGGTTCAAGGAAAGCCACGGAAACCCCTGTAAGAATGTAAGCGACCCGAAATAAGATTGATTCGCTAGATACTCTCAAACCATGATTTGGGAGAGTTGCAATAGGTCATGCCAACATAAGGACTGCCTCAGAAATCAAACCCTTGTTGCGGTTGTGGTTGTCCCAGGAGAAATCGTAAGAAGGTCCCCTGTTTCAGCTCCTCTATGTTTTTCTAGTGGGGCACACACACACACCACACTCCGAACCAGGGTTGCGGGAGTAAGGGGTTTATCCCCACTTCTGTGATACAAGAGAATCTCCCCCTCATGGGGGTTAGTCAGAGGGAAACCCTTTTTGTTGTATCACAGAACTCAGTGGTTCCCAGCCATCCCCTTAGCTTTTTAGCTTTTTAGTGTTTAGTGGGGATTTCCATTTAACCTGCTAACAGTTAGTCACCTTTCGCGGGGGATCAGAACACGGGCAGCGAGAAGTGGATTCGATTTCCCACACTCCGAACACACCACACGCTGTCCCAGCGGGACAGGTTTGCCACCTCCTGGGCGCTGTTGTGGAGCTGCCGACGGAGCAGCGGCAGAAGGCGCTGCAGAGCTTCCTGAAACTCGCGGAGGCGCCGGAGATGGGGGTGGCTTTTTTGGGGCTGGGGCACCCCCCCCAAATAAAAAAGAAAGAAAAGAAAATAAAACAACAAGCATAAATGTGTTTTTTGGAAACAAAAGGGAAACCCGTTTTTTTTTTTTGCGTGTCCTTTGTTGAGGGTACGCCTTTTCGTTTTTGTTTTTTTGAAGAGCAAGGAGTTGCCCAGATCGCAATCCAACTCTCCTTCCCAGAGTTGATCTCCAGAGGTTGTTGAGGCGACGGATGCCGTGAGTTTGGCGACGGATGTGCCCAAACAAGCGGCCAAAAAGCTAGCTGCTGCTCAGGCAAGGACCTTCCGGGTCTTGGGCCGAGTTTTTTTTTGTTTTTTTTTGCGGGGAAAAATCGGGATTGTTATATGAGCAAGGACACCAACTCGGTTGGATGGTCTTTTTCTCACTTCCTGAGTTGGTGGACTTTTTCAACTTTTTGGAAAGACCATCCTTGGTGGTAAATCCAAAGTTCCTGGACTTCTTTTGGCCAGCCAACTTGGGAAGTGAGATTTTCGGGGTGGTATTCAGCGACCAGGCCCTTTTCGGCGATAGGCACCGCCCGCGACATCGCCGATCGCGACATAGGCCTGGCCCAGGGCTGCGGTGGCCGAAGGCCTCCAGGACTTCGCCCTTGGTGCGGAGGAGGGGCGTTTTTTTGTTAGGAGATTATTTTTTTTTGGGGGGGGGATTTCCTTTTGTCCTCTTTTTTCCCCGTTTTTTTTTTTTTTCCCACTTTTGGCTTCTTGGCTTTTCGGCTTCTTGGCTTCTTGGCTTCTTGGCTTGGTGATGCTGGGGATGTTGGTCGGCCATGCGCGGGATCTAAAATAATAAATCTGCAATTTTGCGGAGGACTTGGCCACGGACGTGCCGCTGCTGCCGCGGATCTTCCAGCAGGAGCTACGCCCGAGCTTCGCCCAGCTGGGCTTGCCTGAGGCGAAGCCGGCCGAATCCGGGGACAAATCTGCGTATGTGTTGTGTGTGTTTTTCTTTTTTGTGTGTGTGTGTCTTTGTTTGTTTATTATTATTATTATTATTATTATTATTATTATTATTATTATTATTATTATTATTTCATGTATTTATTATTATTATTAGTATTATCATTATCATTATTACTATTTGCATATATATATATATATATGTTTGTGTTTGTTGTTGTTCTTTGTTTTTGTTGTTTTTGTGTTCATTTGTTTATGTTTTTTTTGGTGTTATTGTTGGCCGTTTTAATGTTTTAATGTGTGTGTGTTGTTTGTTTTTGTTGTTTTAATGTGTTGTTGTTTTTTGATTTGGGGTACCCTCAAGAAAAGACAAACCCACCAGGCCGGGGACAGAACGTGGTGAACTGAATGTAAAGAATTGAAGCGCCAAAAGTGGACGTGGATATGAATCCCCACGATTAGTGTCCGCCAAAGGGCCTCCTTTCAACATTCACACCTATATCGACCTCGAATTAATCAACCTGGATTGGGGGGGTCAATCATTCAGTTGGTTTAGCTCGGGATTCGGAACTCAACCACACTCCCAGAGTTTTCCCAGTATGGTTGGTTTACTGCTAAGATTATCCAGTCTAGTCAACCGGCTACTCTCCTGCGAAGGTCACGTGGAGCTTGTACAAAAACATGGGAGTGAGGTACCTTAGCCCTCGAACTCGTGAGGGGGGGGGCGGGCCGAACAAGCCTAATTCAACCCATTTAAGGCCTGCGCGCTTTGGTATTTGGGGCCTGTTCTGAGACCGTAAGATCACCGTGCCACAACGGGCCTGGAGTACAGAATGGGTACCTGCAACTCACATGGAACCCAGAGGGTTCCTGTACAAATACGACTTTTCAATACCTTTCAGAGGTGTCAATGACAAATCCAACAGGGGCTTGTCCATCAAGCACCTGCGTGGAATTTGCCTGGAGAGATTCAAACCAATTGAGGCTGGGACAGGCTTGCTAATTGTGTCGGGCAAACTTGCCATGCACTTTACGTGGATAAGGAACCAACTGAAACACATGAGGCCCTTTTATCGTGTACCTTTAGGACCCAACCCAGGAGTTGACCGTCCAATGCGGTCCGACAGGCGACCTTTCATAGGTGGGAATGGCACGGCGACCCACTCAGTACAACTCTAGATTCTAAATGCGTTTGCCCCTGCACCTCATGCACATATCATCGGCCTGGAACCTTTTGTCAATGCAAGTCCTTTTCTCTTGGGTTAGTCACGCACGTTTGAGGTCCCAACGTACCCCTTTAGTGCGGCAAATTGACACAGCCAAATATATTGGTACTAGTACATAAAGTATGTTCAAGAATATGAGTTTGTCTCAAAGTAGGGATCCTCACAATTGGTGGTTGCCCTCTCGTTTCCACAAAGGCTACCCGCAGGAAAAGATACCACCGTATCTACGAGGGGGGGCACCGGGGCTACTGTTCAACCATGTGGTGTATGCCTGTGGCCGAGGTGAACTTTGCATAGAACTTTCCGACGACGGCAACCCGGCAAGAAAGGGCGCAAGGGCTAGGCCGAGTGTACGAACCCAATATGTGAAACTTGGCTTTTACAATGGCGCATTGTTTTTTTTGGCGAATTTGACTCTAGTGGCTACAGGTGATAGGTTGCCACCGTGCCACCTGGCAGGGCCATTTGCCGGGGGGAAATGGGAAACCCCTCCGTAACCACCAAACCACCGGGCTCCAAACCAATTGGAGGGAGGCTGACAGGAAGTCGCGTTAGCCAAAGGGACCCAACATGGATTATCATGCTTTCTGTCACAGGTACCGTGAACCTTTGAAACTTGCTGTTGCGATTCGGGAATGAGGGAATGAACCTGGAATCCATGTGAAGCCGTTTGTGTGTCCTTTTGTCAGGCATTTCGAGAAACAAGTTTTTTGTTTTTGGTGAAATGGAGCGTACACGCAGCGAGCACTGCTTCGCTCTGTCGCCTGAGCAAAGGTGAGTGCGTGCCACGTACCTTTAGTCAGGACGCGGCCGGCAAAGTAGAAAATGGGGCAACAGCGGGTCCAATGATCGATAGAGTTGTCCCCATACCCGCACCTGTTTTGGAGTTTCGTGGGTAGAGTGGGTCTTGGACAGCCAAACAAAGGCGCAAAAACCTGGGAACAAAGGCGGAAGCAAGCGGAAAAGGGCGGACAAATCCGGAAATTTTAGATGAGCCAGGTTACCTTGTCACAAAAGCGACCGTCTTTCCAAACAGCCTTTGTTTCCGAACAACAACCAACATTTGTTTTTTGTGCTCGAAGGCGCTGTTGTTTTTCTCATGTCTTTTCGCACACTTATCCCCTCATTCCCTGCTGAGCAACGGCAAGGAAACTTAGGATGGGATTCATCATTTTCTTTTTGGCAAAGACCGCATAGTGAAAGCCCAATGAAAGAGTCTCGTGACGCAAGAGGCGACGTATCCGAGTTTGACTTGTCTTGACACCGCGTCTTGGACCAGTGATATTTGAGCTTCCTTAGGCAAGTTGCAAAGCTTGGGGGCTTTGTATTTGATGGGGACCGCACAGGCGCTGTTTTCAATTAAATTGACTAGCCCCGGTCATTTTCCATGCTTGCTGCTGGGGATTATATATTTGACTCTTCTTATTTGGTCCGGCAGCCTTCAGAGCTTCAGGTGTACGGGGCTGAATCCCAACATTGCGAACCCCGCGAGGGGGCTGACTTGACTTCCCAAGTTCCGACCCACCCGTTTCATGTGATGCAAAAAAATATGTGAGTGTTTGTTGCGTTCTTGGGTGTCAGTCGCACTTTTGGGATGGCCTGGTTGCGCAAAACCGTGTGGCAATGGCAGTTGTGCCTCGCCTGGCAATTGGGACGAAGATGTTCCGCTACTTGTGCTTAACTTAGCGGCCGGAGCTGTCCAAAAACCAGCTTGGGTTTAATAAGCCCTGGGCGAGCCAGAGCGGTGCTTGAAAGAAACCCTGCTCGGCCAAATAGATGCAGACATCTCATCTAGGCGACGCCTTCTCACTCCCTGAGTTCATGGACTACAAACTTTTTGGAAAGACCATCCTTGGTGGTAAGTTGTAAAGTTCCTGGACTTGTTTTGGCCATCCACTCAAGTGAGCCTTTAAGCAGCTAGCTTAAGAGGCAACATAAACTACAATCGGATAGTAAAGTTGGTTGGCCGGGCCAGCGGTAACCCTAGCCTATTTAAGTGTTGGGGATACTTAATTGGCGACGCCGTGAGGTTGTTCTATGACTTAACCACGTGCCGAGCGTTTCTGGCACCTGCTGTCTGGCGTCTCGGGGTGGGCAACTTTGGGCGACCTGCACTGGAAAAGCTTGGCGGCTCTTTGGTCGGATCTTTGGCCCAAAAGTTGTTTGGAAAGTGTGTTTTGTCCCACCTGCTGACTCTACTTTCAACACGAGGGATGGATCCTACCAGCAAAGAGTGCTTCACTTCTTGCACGGGGGGCGGCATGGTGCCAACCTGGGTAACAGTTGGCTGCCCCCCATTCAACCGATTGAATCGGGGATCTGGTTGGAAGCCAAAGGAAAATCATTGACCATTTCCCTTCCAAGGCTTAGTTGTCCAAGGCGAGTCGACCTTTCGACCTTTTTGGTTTTAAAAGATTTGGCAGCCATTTTTTTAGTCTTAAGGTTCCAAAAGGGGTTCTTGTTTTCTGGGTCCAACTGAGGGGCCACTGGGAAAGTTAGCTATTTTCTAGGGTTGACCAAAAACCCAGCAGGATCTGAAGATATTGTTCTCGGATGGCAAGAAGAATTCCTGGGGGTTTGATCAACATGGCCTGGAACCCTAGTGTAACAGAGTGACGGCTGGGAACCTTTGAGGGGCGAGTTCGAGCTCACAGACACAGAATGTGAAGAATATGGTAAAGCTCCCAAACAGGGGGAATACAAAGACTTTTTGTTGGGAAAACAAAAACGGCAGGGTTGTACCATTGTACCATTGTACCGGAGCTTATTTTACGCGGTGTCTTCCTTTGAACACGTCAAACACCCTTGAAAACACCTCCTCGGTTTGGTTGTGCAGAGGGATCCCTTTTGAAGACACAGGCTCCGGAACAATCGTACAAGCCTGCCGCTGTGCTTTTTGTTTCTTCCAAAATTGGGCGCAAGAAGGCGGGCTAGAAGAGAATCGTGTTTGACGTGTTCAAAGAGGAAGAGCGCAAAGACACCAGATGGTTTACGCCTCGCAACAGACAAGACTCCAGACGGGCGACGCCTTTCTTCCGGCTTGCCTTTGGTTTCATTCAATGGCAATGGCACACAAGAGCAATCCATTTCGGTTTGGTGCGGGACCCTCAAATGGTCAACCGCAAAAAGGGTGCCCTTGTTCAAGTTGACCGGGCTGGGGCGTAGTGAGCACGCAGGCCAAAAAGCGGAAAGCAGGTGCGATGTGTTGGGGTTACTCGCACTGGCTCGGAGGCAAGTAAACCCCCCAATCCAAGCCCTCATTTGGGGATGGAAACTAGGAGACTCAACATGGACCCCATAAAGTTGGGGCATTTCCCGAGCCGTCTCTTTGAGGTCGGATCTTTTTGTTTGGGCAGTTGGGGCAGGGGTCGATTTCTTTTTTGCAGCTGTTTGCGCAGCTTTGTTGCCGACTCCTTTCTGGGCCTGCTGAGTCTATCTCACCCAAAGCCTTCCAATTCGACCTTCTAGCTTGCCAACAAATCAGCCCGGCCAAACATTTCGTCAGGGTTCCAAATTTCCAAAGGCTGACTTATTCCCAAAGTTGAAAAAGCCGGGTTTGGGAAGGTCGCCTTGACTACCAACAAAATCCTTGGCACCTCCCAGGGCCCGATGCTATGCTATGGAAACCGCCATCAGGTGCAGCCATTGGGTGGGCGCCTCAATGACTCTGGGCCGGGCACAGGGAGTTGCCCGGCGTTGCAGATGGGTGGCTCGTCTTTTTTTAGGTTTCGGAGCCCCAAGATGCTGGTTGTCTTGTTGGTGCCCCCTTGAACAGTGCATCAAAAAGTACCCTCAAAAAATCACACGCCCACATTGCCTGGAAACCTTGATCCTTGAGCCAGGTACACCCAGAGACTCGAGGCGTAGCCTTTTCAGTCTTTGAAAGGGGTCCGGGGACAAACTCAATTTGGTGAGTTGACCCATCGACCTCGTCACAACTTGTCTAGGCGGGTACGCAGTACGCACTGTTCTATGCGTTCCCTACACAATGCAATGAATATCAAGTGGTTGGGCTGTCTACTGGACAAATCGTTAGTTTAGACTCAGGGATGGTCAGGGAGTGTTGTTTCGCACCCAATTCAAATTGCCACACACCCCTAAATCGAGAGAACCGCTGTGGACCTCCATGATGAGACGGGTGCCTGGGAAAAATCAGTGTATTCTCAAGAGCCCCAACGAAATCCAATCGACACGTATTTGTTTCTCCACTTCACTGTTGTTGGCAAGTTATTATTTAATTGTGTTTGTTGTTTCTGTTCATTTTTCGTAGCAGGGGGCCACAAAAATACAGTCAGCCTTTTGCCAGGCCATGCCTTTTGGGTTCCAATCTTTCAGCTTTTCAATGGAGAACGGTGCCGTATCTCAAAGTTGGTTGAGGATTGTGGCGTCGAAGATGAATGAGCCTTACTCAGCCCGTAGAACCATTCTGAGCAAGAGGCTTAAAAGTGTGTGTGTGTGTGTGTGTGGGTGGGTGTGGGTGTGGGTGTGGGTGTGGGTGGGTGAGGTGTGTGTGTGTGTGTGTGTGTGTGTGTGGGTGTGTGTTTGTTGAGGCTCGGTCCCCGTTTTGGGGTTGGTTTATTGGGAAACAAGCAGGCAACCTTATTTGGTGGTTTTGTAGCCCTGGTTCTTGTAAAGGGTAAATGGGGTTTACCCATCAACCGCCAAACCTCAGGGCCCCAAACCACCAAAGATGTTGGATTCCTTGAGGTCCTCTTCCAGCACCTCGCCCCGAGCTCATGCTATGCGAATTGCGGGTTTGGTGGATGCTCAGCTTGTCAAGACACTGGCGATTAACTTGTTTTTGGTGGGCGGTTGGCCAGGTCCCTATCGAATCCTACTGGTTACATTTGGTTACGATGGAATTGGAGTTTGATGAGAGCACCCGCTAATATTAGTTTGTGGACACTCCCCATACTGGCAGTCTTCAAAGGGCCACTAGTTAAAGCTCACACCCATCGCGCCCCAGTTCGTTGGACCTTCGAGATGGGGCAGAGGGAGGGAGAGATAGCAAGTGAACCAACCACACCTGGGAGCGCCTTCTGACACAAGGCCCCCTCCAGTAGTACCCTGCTCTCCCCTTTTTTGGTTGGGCTACTAAAGTAGACTACGGAGAAAAAAAAGTGTCCTTATTCTATCCTCTCTACTGGAGGACCTAGGTTTGGTTTTGGAAGCTGCTCACTTGGGTTTTAGACTAAGGCCCTAAGGCTTCGGATTTGTCCGCACTGCGAGCGCCACATATATTCTCGCAACAAAAGGATGGACAGCTTTCAAGGGGGCTTTGTTTGCGGCGAAAAGGGTAATCCATGAAAGGGTTTCTATCCTTTTCGGTTGGATGATTTGAATTTGCCCAGGCGTTCAATCTTGACCCCAAAAAAAGACATGTTCCCGCATGAAGGCTGAGAGGGGTCTTTGGATTAGCCAAGTTTTTTCTATCAGCTTCCATGAAAAAGGCCTGTCCTGGAGCATATCCCCAACCTTGTGAGGATCCCTTTGGGTCAGGGAGTGAATAGTGTCAATCAGCTTGTGGTGACTCGAACATCATATTTGACCCGTAAGAGTAACATGCAAGTAATTTGTTCAGCACCACATATTTACGATGAGTCCCGCTAGCCATGGGAAAACGGGCTACATACCCTGCTTGGATTCGCCATGCAGCGGTGGTATATAGGTGTGGCTCAAAATTAAACAGGAGGGGTTGCGCGGTTTTGGTCCATGTTTCCACTTCCCAGGGCAACCCATTTTGGTACCGGTCTTTTGAGCCACAGCCATATATCCCGCTGAAGCCCAAGGTCCCGTTGGTTTTGGATTCGGTCGGATCCACTGAGGTCTATGTCCTGCACAGCGCTGGCGGCAGCCTTTGTCAAAGCAACGGAGGCCTGCGGGAGAGACGCTGGGTGCTTGGGTGT